TACTGGATATTCAAGAAATTCCGAGAACTTTCTTTCCAATCAGATATGTCCTGTTCATTAGAAAAGAGCAGAGAAATCTATAGATGTCTTACCTATCAATGTGTTAACTCATGAGATTAGTATAAGAACTTGCAAATAAGTGCATCATATGACTCTGCACCTTTGGTGTCCAATAGGATTTCAATGCTTGCCAAACTTGTGGTGATCAGGTCACCATATTTGCAACATGATACAAAATATATGGAATAATAATAAAAAGAATGCGCAATTTTTTGAAAGAAGAAAAAATACAACTGATGAAGAGTATCAATTTGCCACATGTCTGTGATTGATTCACCACATATGGTGAGTGGTGAACATATTGGACACCATGGCTCTACACAAAGTCAAAGACAACTATTGCCTGAATTATGAAACTTCTACAAGTAAGAATAATTGGACAAAAGCATGCTTTAGTATTATTTCTTCTATATTCTTACCAGTGCATCAAAATTGCTTTCCTTGGTCCAACGCTTACAGTTGGTTTGCATGTGAAAGAGCATGGAACAGTCCTTCATTTTTCCTTCCACATAATATTGCTGGAATCGACCCCTGATTCGCTTGCATTCCCTGTAGTCTTCCTCATACACAAAGCAGGGCTTCACCTGGGAGAAAGACAACCTGTTACATGCTGAACAACATCAAACTAAAGCATAATATGGAAAACCCAATATATGCCTAACAAAACAAGAGATATGCAGCACTACTCAGTATCTGCAACTGGATGCAAGATTCTTCCAATATAGGCAGGAGCCTATAGTACACTGGTAGGAATGATTACTAGTAGGGCAAGATGTCGCATTCAAAAAATAGAATTTTCACCCCCTAACTACATGGGGGTTTTGGAGGGTTTAAAAGTTTCATATCAACTTCCAAAACTGAATGGAGAGTAAAGATCCAGGTTATATCACTGTAAGCCTTGTCTATCTTCTTCATGTGTTCATTCCCACAGCTATATTTGGAAAACCACTCCCTCCAGTGATTTTTCAATTGATTGCAAACCTCCCTTCCCAACCTCATTCTGAATGGCGCCACATGAAATCCAACTGAATGACATCTGCTGTCTCAAAATGACTGCCTTCAGTTAAATCAGTGACTGAAGTAGGAAATAGGTGATTCCTGCTTCTGGCACTGTAAAGGGGGAAGCAATCAATCAGAAAAATCAATGCAATGTTAGGCCTAGGTCTACTGACTTCGACAAAAGGCATTGGACCTCAACTGAGATTCCGTATTTTGCTCATGACAGATCGTTTACTGTTTGTTTATAAAGGAATCCCCACCGACTGTCGTACGTCTAACTATGATGCAAAATGACATCAATGAATGCTGAAAATGGTCAGGAAAGGAAAAAAGGGTCAGACCATCCATGTCTTCTCCAGGAGTTGCTTTTCCCTCTCAGACCCATAAAGGGCGTCGGTGAACGTGGGATCTTCTGGGCTCACGTGGTCACTTGACGCCGCCATCATGTTCGTCAATTATTAGTATCGCACGATCCTGAATTCATCAAAGCAGAATGTTTCACTTTAAAATCTCTCTCTAGTTGTTTGAATTCGTTCTCGCTACTTGAAACTCAATGGATATCGAATTAAGTATGATTGATTTCCACTATTTTTGGGGCAACTCGCATCCCAAGCAAAAGTAAGTTAGGGACTGGCCAGGAAGACTCTGGCAAGATTGCATGCACATGTCGATCTCCTTGCGGCATTCCAATGACGTGTTGTTCACCGGTTCGTGTTACTTATTCAAGTCGCCAGTTACTCGAGGGATGACGTTCGCAGCGATCGCGTCATTCCTCGCCGTGTTCGCTGTCGCCAATGTTGTCGCAGACTATCATGTGCCTGAGACTCATTTGGGCGTGGACGAACCGGCTCCGGATAAGGCAGGGGATAAGAAGAATTTGGATGTGATCTACGCGATCAACGCTGGTGGAGATGCTCACGTGGACGTGATGGGAATTAAGTACCGGAGGGATCCCTTACACGGTCAGGTTGGGGCCGGTATTGCATCGGATTATGGAAAGAGATTGCTCATCGCCCGGGTTCCTCAAGAGGATCAGATCCTTTACCAGACGGAACGATATCACAGATCCACGTTCGGTTACGATCTTCCGTTGGCTGGAGACGGAAACTATCATCTCCTTCTCAAGTTCAGCGAGGTTTACTTCAATGAACCGCGCAGAAAGGTATGGCAGGTTGAAAGCTATTGGGATACCAAGTTAATCATTCCCATAAGAATTTCATAGGGGAAGTAGCTAACTTATGCTCATGGGGTGTAAAACAAATTTAGCAGCACATAAGACTAAAACCTGAATTGTGATTCAAGGGTGTGGGTTGTTTGTGCAATGTGGGAAAAATCCTGAAATCTGGCTTGGCAGTATCATTGTGATGGTCTTGCAAGTGAGACTAAGTGGTTTCATGAAGAGGAGTAGATAGCCGATTTAGCTTTGTTGTGATGCATTTCTACGATATTCCAATGTTCTATATATTATATCTGGAGGTAATTATTGTTGAAAGTTCACGATGAGTTTGCAGGTGTCAGAAGCTACCCAGGAGTGGGTTGGTTTGCACTACTGATTTTTAAGAGCAAGTTGGGTTTGTTTATATTTCAGGGAGGCACACATACTTACATCTGAGATGGCAAGAGGTTGGTTCAAATGAATGATATTAAGGAGGGAAGAGAACATACAGGGTGTCCCAGAAGTCGGGGGCACACTTTGTCAAGTAACATCTCATGTTGTGATAAAGATAAATAAGTAATTTAGCAGAAAGAAGGCGTGTTTACCTGATTTATTATTGCAAATGTTCAAAGTGACCACCGTTGACATCTAGGCAAACTTCAGCAAGAATTTATGCTGGGATAGATGCACAGGCTTGCTCGATTTCATGTCTAAGTTCTCCAAGTGTAGCCTCAAATGTCTAGTGATTCACCATTTTTCTAGCAATTGTCTGAAAAAAATTCTAGAAAAAATTTAAATGCTCATGAACGGGAGAATAAAACTGAAAATAACAATCAAGTCTGACAGCATGCAGACTGGCAAGTCTGGAAAAATAAACTTGAGGGAGATGAACTGAGGTAAACAGCTGATTCAACGCACGATTCCCATGCATACACCTGTCCCGCTCCCTCTCGATTTTATCCATATGCGAGTACCATATGCACAGTGAGCTAATGCCCATCTGTTACTCAAATGTGGACATTACTTTGAGCCATTGCAGTTATAACATTGTAGTTATTAACCCAAGATACTACTTGGCAAAGTGTACCCCTTGGGGCCTGTTTCATGGAATTTACAAGTTTTACAAGTTACAAGTAATTGCAAGGGTCGTGTCTCCTTGTTTAACTCTTCCAGCTGGTCCCACTGGCCTTTCGTACAACTACGACACAACCCTTGTAATTACTAGTAACTTGTAACTTGTAGAGCTTGTAAATTCCATGAAATGGGCCCCTGACTTCTGGGACACTCTGTATATGTTTAAATATCTAATATTGCCCAATATGCCACCATTGGTAACTTGTTCCTCAGAGATGAATTTGAACCTACAGTGAGGTCTACTGCATTTTTTAAATGCTCTTGTATAGGTAAAGTGATTACTTATTGGCATTGAGACAGATTCTGCTTGAGTGACATGGAATTCTGTATTGGAATGAATATGGTCATTCAATGTTGAGACCTGGTTGTTCATATCCATATATATTTACTTTAGTTGTTAAGATGATGATTTGTAAGTCCCAGCATGGAGTCAAGGTTGAGGATGGCATGATTAGTTTGAGAGACAACTTCTAAGACATTCACATTGAAGTCACCCATGACCATTAAATAATTTTCAGAAGGTTGTTCACAGATGTCATAGAGGTGTGTGTTCTTCATGAAGACTTTCTGGGGAGGCTAATGGATGGCAAGGAAATGGACTTATTTATATTGAGGAAAATCAATTTAGGGAGCAAGGTATTTAATAGAGTCATTATGAGTATGGGCTACAAGGAGTTCTAGGGAGTGTGATTTTGGTACATTGGCAGATAAATTGGAATGAAATAATGTAAAGTCCCCACTGCCATGGGGATCATGGTAAAATTGATAAATGCAATGAAGGAAAAATATGGTGAGAAACTGTGTTATCAAGTTCTCTCTTTAGCAGGAAGGTGGTGAGAAAAGGAAACAAAGTTAGAAAAAAAGACAATTCCTTAGCTGTATTTCAAAGTGAATGGTTTATGTTAATTCAGCTTTCACCAAGGCCAAGTTTGAGGTTTTTCTTGAATTTTAAATCCTCAAACTAGACTTCAGGATTCATAAATTTTATAGATGCAGGTTGGGGAAAAGGAAGGGGCCAAAAGACATTGTATGAGGCATTTATGATCACAGGCTGTTTTACTGAGTACATAAGGTATAGTTGTAGAGGCAACTGGCAGGAAGATGCAAAATGTGAACTAGTAAATTGCAGAATGAAGGTGTAGGTGTAAGTTTTAATGTTTTTAATAGGTAAGTGTTTAGACCCTGCAGACAATTTTTGAGGCTTAGGCCCAACACTGGTTTGTGACAACTGACCACCATTGTTGATGCTATTATTGGGCTTAGTGAGGTGTTTCCATTTCAATGCTATGGCCTCAATCCTGCTGAGGATGGTGTCAAATGTCATTTTATTCACTTTCTACAAGGGTAGTGCAGAATATTGACTCTAATTAAGGCAATCACAATACATAGTTTGTTTCATCGGGCTTTGCAATACATATGCTGGCATGAAAGGAAAGTACCAAAATAAGAATAAAAAATGTACAACTGTGATGGTAGGGTCCCAAAAATGTTGTACTGTTAAAAGTTAGTTCCAACTTCCACACGACTAGGAAATTATGAGAAACAAGCATTGGAAAGCCATAATCACTGATTTATGGTCATTATTAATTGATTCACTCGATAATTTTCGAAGCAGCCTTTCCCAACTTAATGTCGTCGCGACTCGAACGAGTAGCTCAAGAGCAACTTCTAGTGTTCCAGTTCCTGGGCAACGGACTCGAGCTCGGCAGGTGGAATACAGAGCCTCTCAAAGTGGCAAAGATCCATCCACTTCCACGAGGTCTACCGACTAGTCATTTTGGATTGGGAGACTTTTTGGAGTCTCTCAGGGGGCATGCGGGGGAGATGTTTTCCAAAACAACAGGCTTGAGATCTCTCGATCCAAAGGAGTAGTTGCTCGACCTAGAGGTCTCACGCATGGCGGCACTCCGCTTCATCTCATACGGTGTAACGCCGGCCACGTGCCGCAAGAGTCGCATTTCTGCAGCGTGTATCTGCGACTTGAGTTTGACTTGACGAGTTCCGCCTCCTTCAAAATGTCGGACTTGGTGTAATCTCAGTCCCCTAGAGCAGTGTTTCCGAAACGGTGTACCGCCAGTAAGGCTTAAGTGTGCCGTGAGATTTGAGAGTTTACAACAACAAAAAAACACTTAAAAACTTAAAAACAAGAGGGAACGCCATCTCTCAGTGGAAAACGAGCTGAGAGTTGCACTATCACGATTCGTATCAAACTGCTGTGTTCAGCGAAGCCTTACCAAGTTTCCCATTGAAAGTAAATAAATGGCTGGGTGTGCCGTGGAAAGTTCAAGTGCCCTTATGTGGGCCGCAAATAAAAATAGATTGGGAACCACTGCGCTAGAGCAGCTGTTCCCAAACTGTGGGTCGCGAGAGGCATCAACATGGGTCGCGTACATCTTCCCAGTATAAAAAATCACTATATCCGCATCCGCTCAGGATAAACATGCCCAGCAGATTAGGTCGATCAGTTTTCTTCACGCCATAATTACTTTGAAAATACCTTGTTCTGGATTCCGATGGGTCGCGAACTTTTTTGTTCGTCAGCAAGTGGGTCGCAATTCAAAGAAGTTTGGGAACCGCTGCCCTAGAGTTAATGCAAAATTGCAAAATATTTTTGTCGGCTGTCGATATTTTCCCCGTACGGCGCCCATCACTCGAGAAGCAGACCCCGAAGTACAGTACTTAAATTTCCCCACCTGTTCTAGTGGGGCTTCTCTTAACATTTAAGAGGCATTGTACAGAACTACTCGAGAGGATCATAACCTGCGTTATGGGATTGCACAATTTCATCTCAGGCACATAACATTTAGAATCGAAGCGGTCTAGCACGCTCTGAAACTATCGAGACTGGGGACAGCATCGGCAAATATAAGTATGTTAGGGTGGATTTTTGAACCGAGCTCTAAAATAATCCTGCTCTGTTGGATAATACAGCTTTATAAAGTGGTGCATTATTTTTTCGATTTTTGGGGTGGCTTTTTGAACAGAGCACAATGCTATAATGCAGCTTTATTTCCAGGAAAATGCTCTATTATCAAAGAAGCGATTTTTGAACCGAGCATTTTCCATAATGCTCCATTATATTTAGACATCGGTTCGTGATTATAATAGAGTAGGTCCAGAGGTCCTCTTTCGTCGATAATGTTGGATTATTTTCATCAGTCGCAATGGAAGGGCTGCACGGCTTAGAAAAGGAATGATACCTTTTGATCTATGGCGCTCCAAGACATGTGTCAAAAGGAATCGACGTTGGTCCGGAGAACCACTTCATTAAAGGATTATTATTGATGTGATAGCATTCGTCCAGTCATCCAGATACTCATTGTTCGACATGCCGTGACATGGACTAATGGGAAGGAACACTATATAAACTCGACCTCGAACTTCAGGAGGAGGAGGAGGAGGTGAGAGGACAGAGTGTTCCAGACTTCGCTACTGTCACCAAGTGTCAGGACTAGGGTCCCATTTGTAATCTGGAACCTTGCTATTTCTATTCGGTTGGGGCCGAGTACCTAAGTGCTGGTTGAAGCCGGACTTAGGCGGATCCGGTTGGAGCCAGATCCTGTTCCTTGGTGGTTGAAGCCGGAAGGAACGATCAGAAACAGCAAGGACGAGATCGGAGAGTGGGCGTGCGACGGTTGGAGCCCGAACAACCCCTTTCGATTTCATTGTGTTAGCCGTGATTTCAATAAATCACGAGATAAGGTGCAAGCGCTGTTGTATCGATGGTGAGCTAGTTTTTGTTTATCTTTTCTCAGAACTTCATTGTGTTTTTGCGAACTGAAGCTGTCGCCTTTGCTTGGTTGTGCTGAGGATATTAGATCATTGTTTGACTATTAATATCTCTGATATATTCTTGCATTTGGAACTGTATGTTAGGTAGCAAAATTAGAATAAATATAATCTATGTGAAGCCTGGTATGGAAGCCTTGGTAGGAATCCTTGCCCAAGGTAATTGATTCCGTATCGACCACTACGAACCTTTCCAAAGGGAGCAAATTTTCTAAATCAGTAACGATAAGGCTGTTTGCCAGTAAGATCATAAATACCTCGGGTAATTTAGTCTTACCGGCCACGCCAGAGTACCGATCGTTACAGAACGAGCTTCATTTAATCATTTTATGTCTGACCCTAGTAGCGCATAACATTGCAAGAACATGGATTCAATGTTGATTCAATGTTATGTGCTACTAGGGGAGATGCTCCCTGAAATCTTGGAGCAAGCTTTCCTTTTTCCTGTGGCAAAAACACGGGTTTATTGTGGGAAAGTGAGAATTATCCGGCGTAGGGTTTCGCGTTTCGCCACTTAATGCTGTGATGAATTGAGAAGGTGAAAAAGTGCGAAATCACCCCTTTAGATCCCATTCAGAATCATGGCATAGCAATGTTTTCAGTTATTTCTTTCGCATTTCGGCAGATGTATCTGGAAGTATTATCATGCGATACTTAGTCTTACCTATTATGAATATCTGCCAGCATTGCCGCTCCTCGTCGCAGTGGGAAAGTGCTCATTCCCTAGTTCGGGTGGCAAAATGAGAATGTGGGCAAAAGCGAAGTTATCCTTCCTTTATATCTATATATACAGTATGTAGTCGATCGCAACTGAGTGACTGACCGACGCATATATTTTTTCATGAACGTTCTTGTGGAAAGGATTTTCAGTCGGAGCAGTGGCGCATTTTGACTGAAGGGTCGGGGGGCAGAGCAACAGAGCAGGGGGCGCCATACCCCACTCAAGCGATGTCAGGGGAGAAAATTATTAACTCCAAGGGGCGCCAGGGGCTGCCCCCTGCCCCCTGCCCTATTGGATAATACAGCTCTATAAAGAGGAGCATTATTTTTTCGATTTTTGAAATGGCCAGATAATGCTGCATTTGACAATGCTCTATTATAATAATCCTCGATTATTTTCAACACGACACGAATCGTTACATGAAATGCAATTTGCCATCATTTCGCATTTTACTTCTTCGTGAACGACCCTGCACGACGACGAGGAGTAGTGGAGGACTCTATTCCTAATATATCTATTAGACCTGAAAAACAAATTTTCGGTGAAAAAATACGTCAAGGAGTTAACACGAAGCGATACGATTGCACACGATGCAAGCCGTGCAGCCCTTCCATTGCGACTGATGAAAATAATCCAACATTATCGACGAAAGAGGGCCTCTGGACCTACTCTATTACAATCACGAACTGATGTATAAATAAAATGGAGCATTATGGAAAATGCTCGGTTCAAAAATCGCTTCTTTGATATTAGAGTATTTTCCTGGAAATAAAGCTGCATTATCGGATAGTGCTCTGTTCAAAAATCCACCCTTAGCTTCGATATCACCGATGTTGACCCCGAAGTCAAGGCGGCGCCTACAGATTCTATGCACACGAAGAACTGGAAAGGAGAGAGAATGCAACACGTACCGGGAACGAGTCCAAACTCAATCCCGTTCAATCAAATGCAACTCCTGCTGGCACTGTATAACAGTACTCGGCAAGACAGTTTTGGCATGAGCCATCGTTCCAAATTTAAAGCTGTTACGGAAGGCCAACTAACTCAGAATCATAACCCAACCATAATCTGCGATTATACTACTCCACTTCCCCCTCCCTACCCGCACTAACCCGTGCACGGTACCTGCAGTGCCCAGGTTTTCTTGTCCCAGTTGGTCATGGTGAGCTATTGGTAGTGCTTCTGCAGGGCACGAATTAGACCTCCTTTGCTTCGACTGGGGTTCTCTCCCAGGTATTTTTAACCTTTAGTTGACTACAGTCTCCTTCGAATCAGTTATGGAATAAGTGCTTCTTGCCTTCCTTCTGGCTTCTTTCCTGAGGCAGAGGCTTTGGCGAAGAAGGTGCCAGGAAGCACTTCCCCAATCTTAAAGATTCGTCTTAAAGATTCATCTGGGATGATATTTGATTAGATTGGAATGAAATGGCGAACGAATGTATTAATAGAATTTAGAATCGTGAACAAGATTGGCCAATGAGAAAGCACATCCATGTACCCGTTCTTCTTGATAAGCGGATTAGGGTTTCGGATACTTCCAATTCATGTACAACCAGTGCAAATTGCTGGAACGATCGCAAGCTTCAGTCAAAAATTTTTCGTAACTGCAGTCTGGATGATAACTTCAATTAAAGTAAATGCAAGAAAACTCGCAATACCGTCGCTGTCAAGATTCCATGTGAATATCGATTTGCTTTTTAGCCGCCAACATGGGGGCAAAAAAAAAACTTTCACAGAAGGACACATTCCAGATGGAGCAACGTACACAACGTGAGGCATACGATGACTTGGCTCCATATTAATCATTCGAGGGAGGGAAATTATAAAGAAGGATCTATAGATATTTCCAGCCACTCTCTCCAATGAAAAAAATCTCATTTGGAGAACCGTTGAATAAAGATTGAATGACACGCAGGAATTGACAGTTGTACCATACTTATGCAGCACTTCCCACTCCTCACAACTTCCCTTGGAACACGGTCATATGCCATTTCGAGATCCGCAAAACAAACTAACATTTTTAGCTTGCTCCCAATGTTTCTCGAGAATCTGGTGTGAAGAGCTGGTCTGGCCCTTAGCAAAATTCGCACTGTTCCATGGCCTCTCTAATGGCTGCTCGAGCTCTCTTTTCTAAAACTTTGGCAGAGACCTTCCCAGGAATGTCGAGGAGAGTGCTTCCATGGTAATTGGTGCACTCCCTCGAGTCCCCCATCTTAAACGGAGTAACAACCATACCTGTCTGCCAATCCAAGGGGCCGTCCCCAATGCCCATTGCTCTCAGTGCATCTGACCGGATCTTATCCAGACCAGGAGATTTTCCGTTCTTCAAGTTTGCGATAGCTTGTTGAACTTCTTCCATGATAAGTCTCTTTGAACTTAAGAATGTTCACAAAATTAAATATATCTGCCAGATAAGCCAGCTTTGCCAGCCTCATTTCGTCGGAAAAATGAAATGCAAACTCAGATTTGCTGTTTTACCCCAGGAGCTCGTTTCACAGTTTCTACACACGTTGCAGCATTTTGTCTCCTGAAAGCCATCGTACGAAGTAAGAGCGTTTCATGAAACGCGGAAGTTGTATAAATCATCGATTGTTTAACGGTCGAGTCTTTACAGAACTTACTACTTTGATGGCAAAGCCTAGGACTTCATGCATTTCTGGATTTTTTTTTTCGTTGCATGTGAGTCTAAAAAATGCAGTGTTTGGTGACAATCGTTTGGTTCACATGCTTGGCTAGCGCGATAAAACCACTTCTCCTTCCTGTCGCAGAGGCTGTACTGTCAGTGCATAGAGTGCGCAGTTTTTCCATACAAGATGCTCAGCCGTTATGAAACAAACCAGCATTTCAAAAATGCTTCGCCATTTGTGCGAGTGAGTCCTTCCTTACAAAAGAGGACATCTTCCACGAACTCAACTCATTAAGCGGAAAACGCACATATACCAGAAGTTGAGAAAAACAGGCGAAATCAGTCGATTTATCCAATTGCAGGGCGTATTGTCCATTTTTTTTGGATCATCTGCAAAAGTTGCTCCTTGGCATAGATGCTTATGACCAAAATTCCCCACTGCTATGCATTGTTCGACAAGGGAACAGCCTTTAATTTCTTTGCCGCTTCGTTACCAATAACCACGGAGCACGTGTTCAGAGCTGCTGGCAATATCGATTTTTCCGCAATTGTGTTCCTTTTTTTTTACTTTTTGAAGTTCTGAGCGAAACAAGAAAAAATACTTTCAAAACTTTCTTTGGTGTGGTCACAATTGTATTCATGAAAAATTTATGATGCTGACAATCCTGAAGCTTACACTCAAAATTTTCAACTGTCGACCAGATCAGGATGCCTTCTTGTCAAGTGCCTTTTCATATTGGACGACTTCATTGACTCAGTCTTGATAGGTAAATCCCAACTTCAGATACTCAGTGTCGTACTTTCTCTTTGCCGACTTATGTTTCTTCCCAGTGGAATTCCCAGTCATCCCATCAATGGCATCACGCCGTTTACCGTCGCCACTTGTTCCACTACACTTGAAAACATTGTGTACGAGGACAAGATAGGACTTGAGGCAAGCGGCTCGGCCATTTCACGCACGCAAGCAAAAATGAAGTATTGACCTTGAATTCAGATCAAGGAAGAAGGAGAACACGAAGAGACCAAAAAGTAGAGATGTGCAAGGGTCGCTTTAAATCGTTTACTCAGGATTGGCGTGTGCGGATAACATTTTTTTGTTATTATGGAAAATTTGTCGAGTTTCACAGTTTGGGAACCACTGAATCTAGAGCGATGAAACCGATGATTTTTGTTTCTGTCAGCATGTTCCAAGTCCCGATATCCAGAGTCCGTTGCATAGGTCGTTCAATGCTTGATTCTGCTCTCTGCCCTTGGGATATCGCGCCGAAGTAACGCTATGGCCGGTGACAAGCCGACCTTTAAGATTGCATGTAGCAAGACGGGATCCGAAGCACTCAGCAATATGGAATTGCCCTACCCCGGTAACACAATGACTAATGTGGTCCTGATTGTCCCGGGTGACGACCGGTCCAGTATGGAGCTCCTGAGCCGATCTCGTTATGCCTGTTTTCGTTCGTCTTGGTCGCCCACAACAGCAGCTTCTTTATCATGGTGTGACCTGAGCTACCACGGCTTTCCGAATCACTTTAGTCCAACCTAGCGGCATGGACGCGCAGACCATCGAAGGCTGCAAGCAGATTAAAATGGAAAATTCGTTATTTTTTAATATTAAATTTTAAAAAATCAACATTAAATTTGGAGAGCTTCTCTTTACATAGTGTTTAAATATGTTTGATGTTGCAGGTGTTTGATGTTGTCCTCAACCATGAGCACACGGTGATATCCAACCTGGACATCTTTGATGAAGTGGGTCGGGGTGTGGCCCATGATGACGTGGTCCATTTTACTGTAAGGAAAGGTGGGACAGTGCTCCAATGGGATGAAGAAGAGTCCAATCTGGATGAGAATGGAAAGAGTGTGAGGGTGGATTTTGTCAAAGGACCCTATGACAACCCCAAAATCAATGCCATTGTCCTTCTCAAGGGTGATCCTGATGGTGAGTTTGAGTGCCTAGCAAGGAATTTGTTTTATTCAGTCTTTAGCTCTTAACCTCTTCACAATGAAGGGATAGTAATTTTTCTATTATTGCAATGAACTAGGAACATTTATAGTTTTGTGTGAAAGTGGATTCTTTGTATGTTCTTGACTGCTAATGAAACATTCTCAATTTTTTTTCTGTCCTCAACAGCCAAACTCATTTTGTACAAAGCATTTAAAAGAATATTGTGGGATGACACCTCCAAGAGTAAGGAAATAACCTAGAGATGCAAGGATTGCATGTAAAAGATGTATGGCATAAGGATATATATAGGACATAGGGTGGCAAAAGAAAGCCCAATCCCTTTCTATTGGAGGAAGGTATATAAGGTATATAGGTATAAATGCAATAATAACTGATAGGTTAGATAAGCTTTCAAAATTGGATTGCTACTCAGTGTTAGAATGAGGATTTGGTTATATATTATATTTCATGGGAGGTTTTTATGGCTGGTAAGAATGTACTTTATTTATAAGTGCTCTTGGCTCATGACAGCTGAAGTGCCGAAGCTGCCCCCCCTGGAAGAGGAAGAGCTTCCAGGAGTTGGAGATCAATCATACAAGAAAGAGGAATGGGAGAAGGTGACTGGAAAATCCAAGTTTGCATCTGGATCCAAAATTTCTGACCCATATTCAGGCGATGACTCTTCCATGATGCTCCCCATCTTTGTTGCCATCGGGTGCTTCATCCCAGTCATCTTCTGCCTCTGCAAATTATGACCTCTTGCATTGGTATGCTTGTGTATTCTGTATTTACCTAAAAACAAGCCTTACTTATATTTTTTAGGCAAATTTTACTTAGGATGTCATGATGGCAGTTTTGAAAAAATCAATGCTTTGACTGGAACCATGAGCAAGATATATTATAATTCATAAGTGGTGACTAGAAATGGAGAGGAATGGTAAAGGTGTCTTAAAATAATAGTGTCTCATGCAGAAGGTGCCTCAGGCCAGGATCTAAAAATAAAATAAAGAAAAAAAAAAAGGCTTTTCCAAGAAGCTAATCTAGTCTCATCCCGGGAGGCTTTCTCTCTTTCTCCCTTTCTGTCTCGCACCTTCATTATAAAAATGTTGATTCTGGCACTTTGTTTCTAAAAGTGCAAATGCATTGTGATTTCTGGTTAAATCATCAATGGTGATATTGATGCATCAATGTATTGTGACAGCCCAAATGTGCAGGTTGTTTTTTTTGGGGGGGTAAATACTGTAGATGCTTTTATTGCATTTACCTTTATTTCAATCAACAGATGCCTCATCCTGTTGCATTTTAGGTCATTCATCACTTTTCCTCTATTTTTATTTTTTGTGATTTAACCCAATACTTATACAGAGGGGAGTTCTGTAATACTTGAATTAGTCCTAATGCAGTAGGAATTAATAGGCTTGATGCACTGAATATTTGGCTTAGTGGAATTGTAGGGTATGACAATCATAATGGTGTCATATCTTGTAATCTTTGAGCAACCTTTTTCTCTCTTGTTAGTTGAATTTTTGGTTCTTTCCTTCTTGAATTTGTTATAAAAGAAGTATTGCCTGTGTATTGGGTTGACAAGTGTGCTTAGATGTGTCCCTGAAATTCTATGATAAAATTAAGCATATAGAATGAGGAGATTTGCTTGCAGCCTGGTGTGATTTTGGGTTCATTGTGCTATTGGTATGCAGATGTGGGGTAGAGTCCAAGTCCAGTCCTGTGATATTGACCCAGCCTGACCCTGTCATCCAGTCGCACTCTTCTTGGAATGGAATTCATTCGTGCCATACTTGACTGCCCCAACACTTTCTCACATGTGTGATCAAGTTCTGTCTCAAGTTGGTTGTTATCCTGCACAAAATGTAGACCACAGTGGAACCAGTTGACTCGGACCCAATGTTTCAAAAGACTAGAGGTTTTTTAATTTATTCAATCAGGGTTTTCCCCCTCTCATGATGATTGTCCCAGTGAATGCCAGTTCCTTTGTTTTTTATTTCAAGGTTTTTGTGATCTCAGGTTTGGGAAACCTTTTAACCTTTTTTCTTTTCATATCCAAAGTCAAGGTTATCCATATATCTTTCAAGTCTGTAATAAACCCAATTTTGCTTTCTATTGTCTTATGATAAAAACCAGCACCTGATCAGGAATCATTGAACTACAATATATCACCAAGGACAGTATATCGACAGTTATGACTAGAAACAGAAATCCTATCAATTTATACTTTACAAAAGTCTTGCCAAAACCTTTTTTGCCTGAGCAGTCAAGGCGCGTTGGAAGTCTTCTTTGCTCAGGGCGTAGAAACAGCTTTGGCCGGCCCTGCCCCCACTCCGCGTATTCACCATATTTAGCTACTTGTGACTTCTTCCTCTTCCTGCGCCTGGAGTCTCCACCTGAAGGGTCTTCATTTTGATGATGTTGAGGAGGTACAAGCAGCCACAACGGTAGCACTGAAGGTAGTTGCAACAAATGGTATGCAACCCTATTTCACGTAACTGTTTGACTGCTGAAAAAAGCGTGTGACAGCCCAAGGGGACTACTTCGAAGGAAATCATGTCGCTGTAACTCACACTTCCCAGGTATTCCTCCCAAAAAATGGTATTGAAATTTTTTATTGGCCCCCATATTAGGACATCTAGTTGAGAATCATATAGGTGGACCATATTGAGATGCACCCTTCCTCAGTATGGTCCTTGTTGAGTTGAGTTGATGTCAGCATACAGCAGTAGCAAACGCTTCATAGAGCTTGCGTGCAAACGGGCGGCGGCAGTTTCCAACACAAGCCTTGAAATTGCTATCACGGAGGCTACAAAGATTCAACATGGATGAAAATCCACATGCGAGTTGCAAATTTTTTCCTCTTTCGATCGAATCTGTATGTTTTGTACTAATTGCTAAAAAAAATAATTTTTCGGGGTGTAATCCCTTAAAATCATCGTTTAGTTTTATTACCCTTTATTACATACCTATCCTATGCTGCGATATTTTCATTATACTATTTCAGATCTTTCACATGAGCCACGACAAGGAATTTGAACTGTATTCGTTCCAGGCTTATGGAAATGCCCCGAGAGGTCACATGTGTCCAGAAACCAAAACTTAAAATTCTCATCTCATGAACCACCAGGGGTAAAAAAAAAAAAAAAAATTCAGAAATTATGGACCCTGTATTTTCTTCTACGGTTCGTTCACGAACGCAGCTTTGTCAGCAGTTGAACTTTTCAAAAACTTTTCCACAGATGGTCGGGCGTCGCTCATCTGCTCAGTTGATATGGAAGGACCCGAAACGGATTTCCAAGGCATCCGACGAGAAGCAAGCGTGTCTCAGAACTGAGGATTTTCACGGAAAACGTTCCACGAAGACTCCTAGCTTGCTTTTCTCTTTCATCGAACTACACCGATTTCACGCTTGGCAGAGCCTGTCGATTCCTCAATTTTATTTCCTTCACGATTCGTCAGCAAGATCACGACCACAAGTCAGGGGACTTGCGTACGAAAAGCGTTTAGAAGTGCTGGGACTGTACGAGAGAGAGAGAGAAGGTTAGGGAGGGGCGATCTCATCCAGGCTTTTAAGATAATTGAAGGAATAGACAATGTCGAGTGCGGTAGGCTCTTCCAGTTCGATGGCAGCAAAAGAACGAGAGGTAATCAACTCAAGTTGCGTAAACCGCAGGTGCGGCTCTGGTCGAGACAGGACTTTTTTACTTGTAGAGTGAACGCGTGGAATGCGTTAGTCGACGACGTAGTGGCTGCCCCTTCCGTGACTATTTTTTAAGAAGAAACTAGATGCTTTTATGGAAAAGCAAGAAGGGCAATGTTGACTTAAGGGGCTAGGCAATAAGTTATCAGGATTTGCTAAAAAAAAATCACGAAACTCACAAAAATACAAAAATATTTAGCTTTAAGAGGAGTAGGCCTACCCTAAAACTAAAGAACGCTCGACCTCGACACGTGGTATCCCATTGGGTGTTATCGCCTCTTGATACCGCTAAGCAACCTTGAACCTTGGACCTTGGACCTTGAACCTTGGACCTTGAACTTTGAACCTCGAGCCACAAGGATAGAGTTATGGCATTTCTTGGTAAAATTTCCGCAACGCTTGTGTTGTATTTTCGAAAGTCTCTGGAGAAACACTAGTCCTTACTGTATTTCTCATTTCCCGAGTGCAAAGAGCACGTGCTAATTAGGAGCAGAAAGGACAAGGGATTGATTCTTTAACTGACGACCCGTATTGGTTCTCCATTATGGTTTGGGAGCCTCGTGTCTTCGCAGGCGATCGTTGTGATCCTCCCACGTGTTGGGGGGGGGGGGGGGAATCACACACGATACACTTTCTCTTGTACCAGAGGGTTTTAGGTGCCTACAATCTTCTTCCAATCATAAGAGATTCGCGATAAAAGAAAGAAACGGACGAATGGAAACGTTCCACCACTTCACGGAGGCAATAGAAGAGCGTGTCTCTTCCGGCTTCTTCAGCTCTTCTGTTCCTTGGGAGAGCGCGACTGCATTTAGTCCATTCATCAGTACCCGTCTACGGGTAACAGATCCTAAAATCCCGGAACGGAAGTTTCTGATGAAAATATTAGTTTCTTGTTTGAGTTCATCCCAGATGTATCGCACGCGGTTGACATTTCCATCCCCGCCGCCCGCTGCGGAAAGTGAATAGATGTAATTGTGATGGCGTCACACGTCTTGAGTCCGGTTTTTTTTTTCGGACCTCAAAAGCCACATTTGCGGCTTCGATGCGACGGATCCTGGAGGAGCCTCTGTCATAAGATGCCTCTTAATCTCTTCACCAGAGAGAACGGGGAATGGAATGATTTTTCTGGGAAGTCGGAATTGTCAAAATATTGCCTGGAATCGTAGCGTGCTCGGAATCGAGAGCCGGAATCAAAATATCTCATTTCTTCTTTCTCTGCCTCAAAGCAACCAAAGAGAAAGAGGAGGAGGAGGATGGGAAGGCGGCAACTTTCCCCGAAGGTCAGCCTTGGGGGTGGAAGGTTGGGGAGATTCCACGGATTTTCACCACTTCCTCACATTCGCACTTGCCCACCGATTTCGTCGCATTTTAGCACTTCCTCAGGGAGAGCGGCAACGCCGTCGTCGATTTTCCAAGTCTTCTCAGATCACCACTCCCAAACCTCCACGCTGACTCTCGTGGTTTCGAACTGTCGCCATCGAGATGATATCAGAATGTGGTTTCTTTTTCTTTCTTCTTTGCCTGGATGATGACCCCATTTTGTTGGAGACATTTTTGAGAATATGCAATTCCAAAACTGCCAGTCACCCGGATGTCCCTGAAATATTCAGTCTTCGAGCTAGTTCCAAGTTCAAGGTTCAAGGTGGTTTAGTGGTATCAAGAAACGATAACACCCATTTGGATACCACGTGTCAAGGTCGAGCGTTTAGGGTAGGTTTATTCCTCTACTTTAGGGTAGGCCTATGCTTCTTCAAGCAAAATATTTTTGTATTTTGGGGGGATTTTTTTAAAAGCATATCCTAGTTGATTACTGCCTAGTCTCTTAAGTCGACATTGTCTTCTTGCTTGTCCATAAAAGCATCTAGTTTCTTATTAAAAATAGTCACAGAAGGGGCAGCCAGAAAGTTAGTGTCTTTCGCTGAGGGATGGACTCGAAGGACTGGAATATCCTCACCTGGTACACGAACCCATCGGAGCCGAGTCCGTGTGCAAGGCTTCGGCCTACCGTGCCTCCTTCGCAATGGCGTCCTAGGCCCGCTGGGCTCGCGTCAGTGGGTCTTGAAGCATCCCCAAATACGGAATAGGCTTGCGTTTGATGTTGCCAATCGTTTCTCACGTGTTCGAGTCTTTCCGCGGCTCCACGGCACGATCAGGCGACACCTCGACCTACGTTAGGGCTCCCTTCCTTTTTATTTTGCGTTGATTTCGTAGGTGTAGGCCTGCCACTACTGTATTTTGTAAATGTAAAAATATGTAAATTGATGCATTTGTGGAAGTTGGATTGCTTGTTCATTTTGGTCAAACGATTTTTTCTTTCTGCGAAATTGGTCAACGTTTAGAACATCCGTCACAATGAACATCACAATAAACGGAAGCAGATTCCAGAACACTAGTACCAATAAAATCATAATTATTTTTTAACCAAAGAAAGTATGAGGGAAGCAAAAGTTATTGCTTGCCTATAGACGAGAACTATAATAAAATTCTGATCGGCTGAAGAAAAGATTAGTACTGACAGTATTTATTTCATTCTTGTCATGTACTGCAGGATTAATTTTAAAGATCTGTTTCGTTTAAATATACATTCATGTGTCATGTACAAAACTGCTATTCCTCCGGATTCCTCTGCCTATGACATGCCATACGTGACGAGGTCCATGGGGGACACAAACCCGTTCATAAAGTTAAGTCATATTTTTAAAGTGCGATTTAGACGGTCGAGGCATGGGATTCCCAAAGATGGCACCTGCCCGTGAGCACGTGGCCCCCTCACTTGAAACGAATGGAAATCATTGGGTACCGACATCCAAAGGCCAAGCCGCCAGTTTTGTGCAGAAATTAGTGAGAGAAAAAAAGTGTTACGAAACTCGCAAAGATGTGAGTATCCGAGAATATATGCTAGGCGAACCGATTTGATGTGAATTACGGAGGCCTGATTTCCCATTCCTCGTCTTTGGGTTTTCCTTATTCTGTAGAAAGCGAGCGATAGAGTCGGTCGACGAATAGAGAGGATCCTGCTGCTCTCACTCGAGAGAGGGAAACGTTCCCTACGCTGGGGGGAAACGGGACTCCCAAGCTCATTCCCTTGCACGTCCTGGTCCCTTGGAACATGGGAACAAGGAACGGGAGGGTTGCAGAGTGCACGGTGTACACGGGGCGACGAAGAAGGAAGGTGAGCCGGGAGGGTCGGCGCAACGCCTACGATGCCCAGCGTTCCCCATTTTCCTTTCCGAAAAATGGCATTTTCCGAGACTGCCAAGGATTAGGACGACACGACGCGGGACGACCGAGCGATATCGCAAGGACACGGCGACGCTTTCCAAGGGCTCATTCCCCCCGTCCGTGTCGGTGAAACCCAGCGAAACCGATTGAAAAAAGCTCCTGCACGGGGCCGAGGCGCGGAGCCAGGAGT